TAAACTTTCTATTATCAATAATGACGCTCAGATTTATAAATTGCACGGAAATTTTATCCAATTACTAACATCATAGACTTTAGAAAGCATTCATCTGGCATGAAAGCGAACTCTCATCTCAGAAAGTTTAATATATATATATATCAACAAATTTTCTAAAAGAATAAAAGATAATGGTAAATAATGTTTAAAAATTATATATACTACATTCAAAAATCTATATCAAGAAGTAAGTATACTATTTTTATTTCTTCCTAATTACATTTTCAATTACTGTCATTTCAAATAATATCTATTCAATTTTTCTAACAAGCAAAACAATTTGTAAGTCAAAATTTTCAGTTTCTCATAATTTCTTTATAATTAAAATTGTTTTAAAATGCATAATTTGCGATTTAGCTGATATGAACTAATCAAGCGAAGAAGTTTATTTACTGTTTTGGAAGTATTAATATTATTGATATTATACGAAATTATTAATGTCGATATTATATTTGTGTTCTCAATATTTGAGTTTTCTAATTTAATTTCATAAACAGGCGTTTGTTTGTTGAAAAATAAATTTTCGTTTCATTTAGTAAGAAAGTAAAATTTATTTTTCAATAATTTTTTTTTGAAAAACAGGAAAGAAAACAATTCTGAAGAATATATTGCAGACATTATCTCATATATATTTTTAGGCAATATAAAAAAAATTGTTTATTTAAAACAATATTTCTCGTATTTTTTAAGATATTTTTATATATAATATAAAAATTATATTTGATTGACAGAATAAATAAATTTACTGTTACAGTTTATAATTTGTTTTCATCAATTGAATAATAAAACTATTAATTGAGATAAACAAACAAATATTTGATGCTTTATTCATTTATCATTAAGAAGGGAGTCATTCTTATGAAATTTATCCATCATTCTTCTAATTATATTTGTCCCCGTCTTTAATATACTCTCCTACTACATTAATTTTAAAATAAGAGCGCGCATTAATGGCCACCAATATATATTATTTATTTTATTACTACAAAATTTTAAATTTATTAGAAATTCTAAACATCTTTATATTTACATAATTTCTCATTTTATTTTGATATACTGTGTACGTACGTTGAAACTATTCATATCGTTATTATAGTGTCATAAATAAATATTATTCTTAACTAACTAACTAACTAATATTGCATAATTCTGTCAGTCATTAAAGTTTTGTGCTGATAAAATATTTAATATAGATTTAAGTACAGAAATTTCATTTATTACTTTTATATATGTACTATTATAATAAAAATAGCGAAATATAACATTAGAAATCTTGAAAATAGATAAAGTTTTCTAACTCTATGCAATTCTTGCCATTCCCTGATGGTTTCTAATTACTTTCAAGGTCTATTATTCTTTCATTTTACTGTTAATATTCAGTCTTCATATGAATTTTATCGATAGAAATGTTAGGATATAATCAGGTTTATACTGTTAAAGTATAAACCTGATTATACTTGGTTCAATTGAATGGTTCAAAATTTTATACTGTTAAAGTATAAAATTTTGAACCAGTATAATTTGAATTATTCAAATGAATAAATATTAATATTTTAAATTCTTGCATTTAATTTTGTAAATGAAGTTCTTAATTTGATGATCACGACATGGATCAATGTGTTGTTATTTTTATTGTTATTAGTTTAAAAGTATGAATATAACTTATCAATACAAAGGCAATTCTACTCGACAATAGTAAGATAAGAATTTTTGAAATCCATTTAGATTTTCTGTCGAATTTAAGCGACGACGATTGAGATACACGTTTATGCACTTTAAGTTCAAACGATTCTACCCATTTCTGACTGGAATGTCACTTAAGCTGCGGCTTTTGTTTCAATTTATTTCATATAAAACTGTAATAATTGTGTCTCGTTCAAGTAACAGCGGCACAATTAAACAAAGTTAAATAAAAAATTTCAATATTAAAGAAATAATTTAAAGTGAAACAATTAAAACTCTGAATTATACATGTTCAATTCAATAGATAAGCGAAAAGTAAAAATTATCTTATATTTAAGTTGTTTAAAATTTATTCATTTTCTAGTTTCAACTATAATTTATTGTTAAAACTATTAGTAAAGCAATCTCCTAACAACATACTTTAAGATTATTAATTATTTAAACTTAAAAATTTTTAAAAATTATAAATCAAAATCAATATGCAATATTGTAAAAATTATCCTCTTTGATATTTAATATTAATTTGAATTATTAGTTATAGTTGACTAATACAGATATAATCCCTCTAATATTTTATTTTTGAGAAGAAATGAATGCTCGGTTATGAAAACAATCCAAAAATAATTGAAAAATTAAGGGAGTTATTATGTGCATGAAATTCTCTGATCTCTCTTAATGTTTTTTGCTTGCAGCACAATCATTTCTATACTAATAATGACTTATTATTATTTATTTTTTAAAATATTAATTCTAATGGAAATGAACTGTACCTATTTTACAAAGGTATTACTTATCGTCTCTCTTAAGTTGTATTTAAAATAACCCAGGAATTCTACAGTTAATTTTAAAACTTCTACTGATAACTTATTATACTAGTTTAAATTACATAAATACTAGATCCTAAAATAAATACTAAAATAAGTTACAAATTACTTATTTTTGTATCTGAAAAAGTTTGTTATTTTTGATAATCTTTATTGATGATGTCTGTATTTATATCTGTAAAAACTCTGTACCTTTATCTATTTTTATCTTAGAATTTTTTACTTATAACGACACAGCTTTTGAAAAATCACTAACTTCCTATCTACTCGAGGGGCACTCAGAGAATTTGCTGAATTGTAAATTTTGGAATTAGAAACAGAAATAATACAAAAAATTTAAATCGTTTTTTTTTTGAAAGATAAAAAAATATTTTGAGCAAATTAAAATATTTCAAAAATAAATATTAATATTTTAATTTTAATGTCGAATCTTTAACGTAACTTTTTACATCTTTTGAGATGTGTATAAATTCTGAATTTTAATTTTCTTTTTAATATTTTAGTTATATATTAAAATATTGTTATTTATATATTTTTTTCGTATGTATTATATTGCAAGAATACAATTTAAAATATCATTATATTATATAAAATACCAATTCCTAACATACTTGAAAACATTTATTCTATTCAAAATATATTTAGAATATTACATTAATGTATTATATATTAAAAGATTTTATATAGGCCTATAATGTGTGTTAAGCTAAACTGAAGTTGTAAATTTTTTAACATTTTCTTCGAAAATTCCTAAAAAATTAAAGTGAAAAACATTTTAAAACAAATAGGAAAAGAAGTGTTAGCTGTCAGATACCAAAAGCAATATATTGCATTTCTGTGTAATTCAGAATTTATTAAAATGCTAGTCTCCTCTGAGATATTTCACACATGGAACATTTATATTTGATATGGATGTCGTGATATTTTTATTGTAGTTAGATTGAAATGTCATTTATAATCGTGTGAATTTAAAACTGTTGCTAATATCACTCGATGTGCATATCGATAAACACAAAACGCTTCAGGCAAATTAAGATGTAATATACGTTAATATAGTCGAATGTAATATACTATTTTTCTTCCGTACCGTCTCATTAAAAAATAAAATATTTTCAAAAAATTAAAATTTTATACTTTGTTTCGTTGTATATTTTTACGTACAGCGAAAGAAAACATTCAAGCGAACTAGATAAATTATCTAGTTCGTAAAATGAAAAAATATTTCGAATAAAATAAGTAAGTAAACCTCAAAATATGATATCTTCTATGTAATAATCAGAATTATCATGCTTTATACTTTGTTTTTAAAATAATTTTACATTTTTAATGCTGTTAATTTGATATAAACATATATGAAGTCTTAATTAAAGAATAGAGACTTAAAAATCTGTATTGCGATCAAAGAAAAAATAAAATCAACAATACTAAAAAAATTATGTAAAAATTAATAAATATATCTTATAAATAGTTTACAAAGCTTCAATACATTATAATATTTATAATTATATGTAAGAATGGATTTCCTTTTTCGTAAATTGTTTAAATTTTATATATAGGGGAGATCGGGGCAACTTCGGCATGCGGGGCAAGTTTGTCAAGCGCTTTTTTTTAAAAAACAAATTAAAAGGAGACTTTGGTTATAGGTTAGGCAGTTGAGTTTTATTGGTGGCTTGTTGAGTGTAGTGTTTTTATTGTTCTCCAACAAGCGTAGTTGAATTATCAAGCAAATTTTCATTTTCGTTGAATTCCATATAATATTTTTTTTCCATTTATATTGAATTGGCAGGTTTTGTTATAATTCCATGATAACGAAAGTTACTTTTCCTGTTAGAAGGATGTAACTTCAACTTATTCACGTGGCCAGATCGTGGCTTGGCATTCTGTTCTCAGGGTTGTACTTAATGTTTCGAAATCATGACTAGCGGGGTAAGATCGGCAACATAAAGCCACATTAGAAGCAAAGGATAAAAATCAAACAGATGATAAATGAAAACATGTTTGCATTTGTTATTCATGTATATATGTCTTTGAACTTGCATTTCGTTGTAATAATATTAAATGGGTGTTGGATTTGTATTTCTTTGTTTTAATAGTGAATTCCAACTTATACATTGTTAATAACATAATTTTATATACGTGCCTATCTTGCCCCATTACTGTTGCCCCTATACCAGGGGCAACTTTAATAAAAATAATTAAAATAATTACAACTTTACAAAAAGAGAGAAGTTGCCGATCTTGCCCCTATACCCGGGGCAACTTCGTCAATTTCTCTCTTCTTGTAAAGTTGTAATTATTTTAATTATTTTTATTTCCAAACTGATTTTAACCAGTTCTATAGTAAGGTAACATTCCAATAGACAATATGCAAAGCTTTTTTTTCAGTTTACAGCAGTATTTATTACACAAAATTTAAGTAAAGCTTAACATGCCGATCTTGCCCCGATCTCCCCTACATAAATAGATTGTATTTAATCTCAATCTTATTGTAAAAAACGATTATTTTCTGAAATTCTCAACTATCAGATTTAATGCTCCTAACCCAGGCTTTGGTAATCCGATGACAAACATTTGGAACAGGATATAAAGAAAATCTTAAGATTTAACAATCCTTTAAGAAATAAAATTATTTTTCCCTAGAATAAATATGTTCTTTAGTACTTAAACATTTTTAATAATAAAAATTCAATTTTGCTCTTGATTGATTGTATTTTAAATTGGATCTCTTTTATTTTTACAGAAATGAAGGCTTCTAAAATATGATGATTCGAGAAGGTAAGTTTACTTTTTTATTTTGATGAATATCCTGTTGTTCAAATTGAATTTAAAAAGTGCAAAAGTTTATTTTAAGCTTTACACATTTATATCATTATAAATTTAGCAAGAAATTCCTCTGAAAATCCGAAACAAATGTACTTCCATAAACAACACGACATATGATATATTTGTAGATATTACATGAAATGTTAAAAAAGTAAGATGAATATATGTAAGACTCGAGTGGTTTCTGTCAAAATTTTTCCTTCAGAAAATACATTTAAGTAAATCCCCTCGTAAACCTTTAGACAATACATTTGAGGAAAGATATAACTTGACTCTAAACCTGAGCACAAATTAATTGCAAAATGTCACTCTGCGTCTGATGTAAGGCACATCACTATTAATTTCCCAATTAACTACTTTCGACCGAGGTATATAAATATTTTACGCCTAATTGTTATTCATAAATCAACGGTTGCTCCAGGTAATAAAAACCTTTTTTTTTCTTCGATCGAACTGCCACAAATCGTTTTTTCACCACGACCTAAAGAAACAGAATGAAGGGATTTGCAAAATGAATCGATTAATTAAAGATAAAAAAACGAAGCAAAGAAGTGAAAATCGATTAATTAAGAGTTCAATCAATATTAAATAATCTTTAGAGATAAATTAACTCGTCCCGAGGGAATAAATTCAGATAGAATCCAATTAAATGTTAAAATAACGATTTGATTGCCTTTAAATCCGCCTTTGATCGATTTTTATCGATCTTTTCCAAACCCATTAATAACCTTGTACTCTTAATTCGTAATAATGATTTCCTGTTTCTTTCATTAGAACTATTATATAAGCAGTGATCATTAATATGTATCATTCTAGCTCATAAACTTAGATGGATTTATGAATTATTAAGGAATTTTTTATGAAGACTTGTATAAATTTATATAAGCTGCATGAAAGCCTGTGTTTTAGTGTAATCTTTTTTGTAAAAATATTAAACTTTTAGCCATAAATATAAAAAAGAAAATTAATTAATAGAAACAACATTAAAGAAAGAAGTTGTAATGAAATTTTCCAAATTTAAACTCATACTTTAAAGTTTTTCTGATGACCTTAGAATCACAAACTGATAAATTTAAAATTTTATAAAATATTAAATTTTCTGTGCATAAAATAAAATCAGTTAGAAAAAATTTTATATTTTAATTATAGAAAACAAAGTAACTTTTTTTGGTAAGTTATCTATCTTTCAATTCTTTCATTTATCAATATATGACTCGACAACTTTAAATTTCCAGTTGATAGAAGACAGAAATGCTTGGCCGTATACTTCTTTAACTTACAATAAATCAAATATCTTGAGGTTGATACAAATGAAGCATCAATTTCGCTTCCTCAGCAAATCATATTAATATTTCTCGACTTATTCCTATGGTGCACATCCCATATTGATCTCTGATATTTACTTTAAAGAGAACAGCGTAGAAATAAAAATTGTTTGTTCTTTCAAGAAGAAAAAAATTTGTTGGAAACTGCATCTAAAAGTAGCCACTAGGAAAGATTATCGATTTGTGTTATGTTTACAAATTACCTAGACACTAAGTAAGTAAACAAGGTCTGGTTTATAACTAACCTAGTACTAGATTACCAAAATAACTAGGTGAGTGTATTGGTGAGATTTACGATAAAATCTACATCCAAGGCTTCTGTTGCGTGGTTTTTTCTAAGAGTAAAAAAGTTCACTTTTTAAAGTATGCAAAAATTGAAGATCAGATTAAATATTCAACGTCTTTTTATAACGTTAAAATAAAAATTTAGCACAGCAGTTTTTTAAAAATAGACATCATTTTTTATGATTAACTCCTTAAAATTAAAATATGAAATAAACAGACTTATGGTTTATTACTGATGATAATTATTATGTTGTAATTTTTAATTTCTGTAAGAAAGAACCGTGTATTTTTCATATTTTAATATTTTTTTATTCATAAAAACAATTTTTATGTTATTCTTATAATTATAATGAGTAGATTAATCTGTTTCTTTCGACAAAACACAGCGCTTCTTTTTATTGTAGAATCTCAAGCTACTTATTTGTTCTCTTTAACCATAGAAAAAAGTTTATCCCAAATTCAGAATCTGTCAAGCGATATTTGAATGTATTTTCATTATTTATCTCGTTATATATTTTATTGAAGTCTTTCATTTTATTTATACTGTAGTTTTCTTTTGATAAATATAGCAATTATTCTTCATCCCAAGATATTTGCTCAAAAATCAATAAAATTTAAGTAATTATAAAAAAACTTTAAAAAATAATTAATTGAAAGAATTTTTTTAGTTTTTATAATTTAAAAATTAACATATAAGTCCAATAAAATAATTACTTTTAAAAATAAAACTGATAAAAATTTAATGTTTATATTTCAATGTTTTAACTATTAAAAAATAATATATTGTATAAGTTTTTTTTATTAAATTATTAATTTGTATTTTATTCATTTATAAACGACACTTACAAACTTAGAAAATTTCAATAGATTATTTTAAAATAATTTAAATTAACGTGCGTGACATAAAAATTGCATGAGGTGTATATTTTAAGAGAAATTTATTTATTAAAATTTTAACTTTAAATCAAATATATAAAAGTAAACAATAAATATAGAAATCAAATTATAATTTTAAAATAAATGTATTTAAAGAAACCGTATTTTTAATAATTCATAAATATTTTATTTTGAAAGACTACTCCACGAACTGGAACTATTCCATATATGCAGTTACCAACTTCATTGAATATATACCTCTAAAACCGATCTGAAAATGCTTCTTTCTCACAAATTTATTTGAAATTTCGAACACTGGAGTAATATTTCTAGGACATACACTTCTGTGAAATGAGGCAATCGTCTACTTTTTTTCTTTTACTAAAATCGAGTACAGAAATGTAATAAATAAATTCCATGCTAAGCTAAAAATCGATCATTGCTTTGACTGACATCAACCAACATACAAAAATCTGATAGAAAATTAATGAGATAAGGTCAGGAATTTGCCTTTCAGCAGAAATTGCAAGGAGTTGTCACAACAGAGAACCTCTAATCTTTTAATAAAATATATTTTAAGAATTCTTCATATAAAAGTCATATATATACAGTTTTATGTAACTTTATATTACGAATTCCTTCTGTACTAAAACTATTTGGAAAAATTATTAAAAATATCTCTGAAGAAATAAATAATATTTTTATACCTGGAGATTTTTCAATTACAAAAATTATAATTATTTGTTTTTTTCATACTACAGTTAAATTTATAAAAATTGCTATCTGACAGACTAATTGTCGTTTAGTCGGTTGTCCATTCAGTTAAAATCTTTCTTCATAAATTTGTCTTCGTAACTTTATGCAGAAAACTTAATACAATTTTTAATGCTAAAATCATTTGAGTACACTTTTATTGCTACAAATGTTATTTTCAATAAAGTTACAACACACCACAAGGTATAATACTAGGTTTTTATGAAATCCTTTATCGGTTAGTATAGGTGTTGCAAGCACATTAGCTGCGAGCATAGTTTGGATAATATATAACATTTGATGACAAAGTAAGACCAGGGAGTTATTAGAACTTGCTCCGGGATTGCATCGTCACTAACAGAATAATAAAGCATGCTTTACGTGTTGGGAATTTCTTCCAAAGATGGTCTGATATCCGGCATGGCAGAGTTAGTACATAAATTGTATTGAGTTTATTGGTAAGCTGCGGATATACTGATTCAATTCTTGGGTACACCCGCCTCCGGTAAAGCCATTTCACATCAATTTGAAAAGAATTTGCCGTTTGTACCATAAATTCAATAAAGATACATCTGTTACTTTTATAGAATTTTTCTACTGCATAGCAAAAATTTTTGACGCATTATTGTCCAAAAGACAATTTTTTACTCTTATATAGTGACTACAATGTGATTTTCTCATCGAAATACATTTTATGTGTAAACTGTAGAAAACGGGAAAAAATCTTTAAATCTCATTACAGAAATTTCAAGAAATTTAATCATTTCGGCGAAGGACTTTCTCGACGACATTCATTTCGATTCTAAGTTAAGAAATAACCAATCTGTGAATACCAGTGGCGTCAAGTTTGTAATAAATGCCGTAATTGTATTCTTCCATTTACATTGAATCAGAAATTTTCTACATACCATCTCATCCTTCCACACATTCGATCAGTATCGTGACAAATTGCGTCCTCTTTTCATTATATCACTTCATTCATATTGGCAGATGTCGACATTTTCTGTCATAATTTCGCTTTTCCAGTCATCCTGTCAAATAGCAGTTCCAGTGCAATAAAGCAAATGACAAATATGCCCGACGGCTTAATAACGTACGTTTGCACTTATAACTCTATTATGTTTTCTGAAAGAGAAAATAGATATTTTAATCAAAAGACAAGAAAATTAATTTTCAAAAAATTTCCAAATCCAATTTTTTCTTTTTTCTGTAAAATACTTGTCGCTTTATTACATTAATTTAAATAATTAACTTTGTAAATGGAATGTTGAAATGCATAATTCAGAAAGCTTGATCATTTCTAAGTGATTCTACACTAATTAATCTGTTGTAACTCATAAGATTAATAATAAAGAAGTAAATTTTATCAATGAATATTAATAATTAAATTTATCTTATATGCTACGCCTGTCAAATTTACTGTAAACTTCGGTCTATTTATTTTGAATTAAGTAAAATTTACTATAGCAGAAATTATATATAAACAAATATCAAATAGCCGTAAATTAATTTTTAAAAATATCTTCATTGTAATTTAGATTTACTTAATTCATAGATATTTCTAATATCATTTAAACTTTAATATATTACAGGCTGAATGATTATCTCAAAAAATCAATAATTATGGCAAGATTTTTCTACAAATACAGAATGGCTTAAAAGTCGGTTAACCGAGATTTATTTTAAAAATGATTAAAACTAGTATAAAGATGAATTACTAATAATAAAGTGACCTGCTTCAAACCATTTTTAAGAGTTTTTAAAAATATAGCCTATATCTTGGTTAACTGAGTTTTTGGCCATCTCTACGTAAAATTTACTTTTGTTTTTCAAATTTAATCGCAAATTAGAATAATTTAAAAATCGATATCAGCTAACTTCTAAACATAAAACATTTCCTTTTAGGAAAAAGTTAAAAATTATTTTGTTCACATATTTATTACTTTAACTTTTTTCTTCAGAATGGCAAAATTTTATGTAAAAAATGCAGTTTTTTATTGTAACTAAGAAGCGAAAGACATATCTCTATACTATATTAACTATAATTAATACATAACAATTTAAAAATTAAAGTAAAATTTCAACTAATTGTATCGTAATGTACTATAAGATATAGCCTATACAAGTAACTTAGTAAAATGATTTTTATCTTTCAATTGCATAAGTATGTAATTTAAAAATTGGATAAAATTAATATTAAATTTAAAATTATCTTGTAAAAAAATTGTATAGTCTAATATAGGTAACGTTTTTCAAATTTTACGTCTTTTAAAAATTCTTTTGTACCTTTGTCAATTTTTACAAATTGATTTATAATATGGAATAAATTAGAATTATTGTTAAAGTATGCAAAATTTCAAGCTGTTGTCGTAAAATCTTTCATTTGAAGCAGTACTATTTATTACACTACAATAATTTTCATGATAAATCCTATGCATGCAATTTGTTTTAAGTTAATGAACATTTCAAAAAATAAATTGAAGTGCTTTAAAAATATTAAAATATAATTTTATGGCATTTATATTTGTACTGTAGTATATTGCATAATTAAATATTAAAATTCTTTAATGTTGATATTATTATTGGAACAAGATTTTGTGTTTTTAATGTATAATTTTAATAAGTAAGTGTGTTTTTTCTTATATTTTAGGAATGCTTTTCGTGTTCTGGTTTGTCTTTCTCGCCATTACAAGAATTTCCGGCGAGGAAGATACTCTCCAGTCCACTAACCGTCCCATAATGGAAGTCGAAAAACAAGATTTTCCGTCTGAAATGCCAATATTTTATTCTCAGCACGTAAATGTTAGTCAACTTGTAACACTTCCAATATCCACTATTATCCATCCAGTAACAATTGATGAAAATGATTCATCTGATAATCCGCCAAATGTCAGCACGAAAGTAACTACAGTTCCAAACCAAGTAATTCCGCGATATATTACCGATGTAGAAAACATAGGAACAGAAATGGTAACTCATAATATCAAATTGCTAGGAAACATCACAGAAACAAACGCGACAAGTTCCGAAGATAGGAGGATACCAGTTAATATGATCAGTGCAGTTGCCAAATCCAAACATTTAGCACAACAAAACATTTCTCAGATATCTGAAGAAATTTCTACTTTTCCTTCAGTCAATGTTTCTGTGACAAAACATCAAGAAGTTAGATGCCCGTCGGAAAAAGACAATGACATTTGGTGGAATGATAGGAAAGTTGGAACATTGGCCGTCCAACCATGTACCACTGGGTATCATGGCAACATTTATAGACGTTGTTACGTTGGTGGAATTTGGGGAACAGCTGACTATACAGACTGCAAGCTGGAAAGATTGCAGAGATTAGGCCATCTGGTAAGGGATCTCGTTATTTTTATTTTATTTTTTTCAATAATGTTACATGAAGTAAGTACTTGGAGTTGTATTATTCCAAGATAAATGCCATTACATTCTTGTTGTTACGCACGAACAGAATTTCAAACTTTTAATTGTATTTTTGTAATCCAATAAAGTGAAGCTATTCGTATTAATTTTTATCAGTTAAAAGTAGAAATTAGTTTAAATTTTTATTAACTCTTATGTTGAAAGAAACTTTTTAATTGTTAATAATATTTAAAAAGTCATACAAAGTTTCAAATGTTAAGATGATTTTAGAATCAATCATTTTCTTTACTTTAAATATATAACTAGCATTTAAAAATACCCACAATTATATGTAAACATTATATAACTTATAAACATTTAAACAAAATACATACAAATTTGTTTTATAAATATAAATACAATTCATTAAAACGCGTTATATTCTGTAGAGCAATTAACCGAATTCAGTTATAATTTAATTATTTGGATGGAAATAAATGTATTAATTTAATACATAATTCATTATTTTCAAATAAAAATTCGTTAATAAATTATGATTTGGAAGATGATGCAATAGATAAAAAAGAAACTAAAATAAATTTGTAAGAAAGTATATATTAATTGCGACAAGAGAAAAATTAACGTCTGTATTATAAAAATGCAAACATTATGCAAACTTAATGTTTGCATTTTTTAAAATTAATATATGTATAGGTATCCCTCGTACAACACGGCACTTCTACAACATGGTTTCGCTCTAACACGGTTCGAGAATTTGAGAAATCCTCCATACAAATTTTCACAACTTTTAAGTGCAAACTCCTTTATTCGATATTTTTTTTTTGTATTCTAGTAAGCATGCATGTTGTCTTAAATTTGCCCATGGATTTTAGAATATTGAAATTTTCAGTTGGTTTTTTGCCTTTCGTCAGGTTTACTTTAATGAAAACTGATAGTACAATTTATTTATTTCTTGTCCTGGCTTTTCAGGTGTCGTTGTCGTTGCTTTTAGAGTTTATTCCTTAAGAGTATCACTGTGTTTTGTTCTTATACATTAATCTTCGTATTTAGTAAAGTTTATTTAAACATTTTCAGTAACTATTTTTAACCGTAGGTAAGTAATCATTCGTAAAAATGACGAATAACATAGGGCGGTATCTCGAAACTCGAACAATTTAGTTTTCGAACACAAATTCTGGAAAATAAATTGCTCGATCCTCGATTGAACAAATGCGAACCTCTAGAACGAATTTTCGATTAATAAAATAATTTTACTTTTTATTTTGTCATGCATAAAAAATTTTATGGTAAAAATTTAAAAAAATAAAAATAAAGACGTTGCTGAAATTTCTAATCAAGATCAACAAAAAAGCTCAGAAGATGACGAAACTTTGTAAAAAGGAAACCTTCTCGTTTAACTAAATTTAATATTAACACGTAATACTGTATTTTCAATTGTGTTTGTTAATTATTGATTGTTTTAATAAACATATTTCTCTTAGTAACGAAAAAGAAAAGTATATTTTTGCTAATTCCTGGAACTTAACTCCATGTTTTATATTAATCCTTTCTTCCGTATAACATGAATTTGCATAACACAATTTTTCGGAACGTACCTACCGTGTTATACGAGGGATACCTTTTAAATTATATATATTTTTTCGAAATTCACTATTTCTAAATTAATAAACAAAATCTTCGCGTAAATTGGTTGTTTCCGTTGATTTTTCTTTGCTCTGAATATCTAAAATGAAACTATCTTTGCATTTACTTGCTTATTTTCACTTTATGTTATTTGATTTTTTTTTCAAAAGAGAAAGTGATATCTATTCCACAATATGTTTATATTCTGATTTAATGATAAATTTTTTAATTAAAGTTAACAAAGAAAACCGTTTTGTACTTTCAATATTTGCTGAACTTCTAATTTTTCTATCACATTATATTTATCATTTTATTAATGGAGATGGTATTTTTTTCAACGAGTTTTCTCTGTTAGTAAAAAACAATCACACTTATATTTAGCTAATTTTTCATTTATCAGACTTTTCCATTTATTTCTATTAAAAGATACTTTTAAATAGCTGTTCTAGCTAATCTCACATTCATATTTTTTTTTTCCTTTTCTGTAAATACGTTTTAATTCAAAATTATTAACATGAACATTCAATTAGTTTTTCATAGATTAATTGTAATAACAATAATTTTTTTAATTTAGTATAAAGATAACGTTTTTATTATTAAAAGGAATTTATAAAGTAATAATCTTTATGAAACATCCCTCCGTTATAGTGAAAAAAATAATTGAATATAGTAATATTCTTATTTAACTTCTAAACATAAAAATTCGTAAATGAATTAAAAATGGAATAATAAAACTAATTTGAACGTTTGAAGTTTTTGAAATAAGTGTCTGTTTTGGAAAAATTAATATAATTTTTGAATATGTTTTTATTCGAAAAACATAAAATACTATCGTTCGTTCTATAAGAAGCATGTAGACCTATTTATTTTTATTGAACTATAATCTGATAAATTTATTTATAATCTCCATATATAAAGTAGAATGTGTCTGTTCTCTATACACTTCTAAACCCATTGAGCGATTTGCACCAAATTTTCCATGCTTATTCGTTTACTTACTGGACTTCTATACTTTATTTATCATATTTTGTATTTAGTAAATACAAATATTTTCTTAAAAACTGAGTTTAATAGGATAAGTTTAATATTTAGTTTAATGGGATAAGGCAATCTGCCAAGAAGGGATGCTCCTGGGAGGACTTGTAGAAAACTTGTCCATATTTAGATGTTAAAATCCTGGAATAGTCTTGATTGTTTTTGTATTATCCTAGAGAGGAGTAATTGAGTCCTTGGTACTTTTAGGAAAAATGGTCCTTTCGGACAATTTCTATCCTTCTAAATTTATAATATTCGGGCGAAAATTGTGAATGTCATTCAAATTTTTAATTACCGAAGATTACAAATTTAGTTTATAAAAATTTTTAATTTAGTTATAAATTACATTTTAATTCTGTTAAATTGTAATATTAAATAATAAAATAGTTGCTTCTTAGAAAACTTAATTTGAAGAATGTATCTTATGTAATTATTTATACTTTAAAAAGTTAAGGCATGTACAGTACGTACAGTATATAGATCTCCATTAACAAAGTTTACAGAAATTACATCGTTTTATCAAATTGAAAAAACATTAAAAAATATAAGTACAAAATAAATTATTATTCAACAAAGAATATATTCCATTCTAAAATAATAAAATAAATAAATTATTGATATAAAACATTACTTACTTTAATTTTCACTTGTTGACATTCATGTCTCATACGCGTTATAGCCAGGGTCCTTGACTTCTTAGAAACTTTATTTTAGTACTCATTACTTTCATTTTTCGTTTGTCTATATAAAGCCTCCGAAATTAGCAGGGGGCTTCAAAAAAGATTAAATTGACCCTTTATTTCATTATTCAAATAAAAGTATATTAGTTATAAAACTTTATAGTTAAAAAATAAAAGTTTTATTTTTATGAAATACTAATAAACTATCTTACGAGTTAGTGAAGTATATAGAAAAGTCAAAAAGTAATTTTTTTCTAGGTTTTTTATTTTCAATGCAAATAAGTAACAATGCGGAAACATGGAACATAAGTAAATATTCAATCTTTTTTCGATAGAATGGCCTTTTCTGCCATTATAAATAGTGATAGATAAACGAATCAAAACTTTGGTGGAAAAAAGAGATTTCCTGTGAACATCAAAAAAAAAGCTAAATATTATTTTAAGTCTTTATCAGACTGGAACAAGCTCGAAAATACTTCTGTTTGGGGAACAGGTGGAAAACACGAGGATTGGCTTTTTCAACATGACTGATTTATAACATTGATTGCCTAGTCCATTCTACCTATAATTCTGATTTGGTATAGTCGGGCTTTCTTCTTTTTCCGATTAAAGAAGCACCTTAAATTCTACGCTTCCAGCTTGGTGAAAATCTTCAAAAAATGAAACGTTGTATAAGTCCGTAAAGACGCATCTTTCTATCATCAAATTTTCATTTTTTGAGCTATTGTTATGATAAATGCCTCAACAGATAAGATATCGAAAAATAGATGAAATGTATGTATCCAGATTGTCACATGGGTAGCAGCAAATATGGAGGTCTCTCTGGACTCCACGCTTGGAGGCAGCTCGTCGAACATTAATATAACTTATGTTTAGCATAAATGATATTGACATTTTTATTGCTCATTATATCCTGATACTATATCATCATCTAATGTGTTTCGTGGTTTAAAAAAATAGTTACTTTTCTCGAAAAAAGTGAAAAACTTATTATGATCCCCCATTTTTACAAGTTCCTTTGAAAAACCTACGGCCTACATCTTGTGTGTTTACTCCATTTTTTCATTTGAATATATCTCAAAGATCCTATTTTTATCGTATTACTCGAAATTTAAATAATTTTGATGATTTTTTATTTGCTAATTTTTCTTCTTTTAAATTAAAATATAAAAACGCGTTATACAATTTTTAATTTTATTTAAATGTTTTTTATTTCCTTTATTTGTTTCATTTATATTTATCTTTGTATATTTGTTAATTAGGGGATAGATATCAATTGTCCTTCGGGACTTTGCTGCTTATTTGTAAAAATAAATAAAATTTCTATTATTTTGATTGTAGAAGTGTAAGTTTATCTTAAAATAAAATTGACATTTTTAAATGTGTATACAAGTAAAACGGCAAAACCGTATTTGGGACAAGACCATGTCTCAGAGACGGAATCACTTTGATGCTCAAGGCAGGTTTCGTTCTCATTCTCCTATCTTCTTTGATATCGCTGCTTTTGGGCGCGATCGTTCAAACTTTGTCGGCCACGACCACGAGATCGTCCATGATGCATCTTCGATGAAATTAACTTATCTAATTTCAAAATTTCTCTCTGTTGCGTGTCGGCCTGGGTTGAATTTTTGTCGATGAGTAACGAAAGGTTCCCGTTTTTGAAAAAATAATCGTGGCTATTGTATCGTCCGAAATTATTTTTTTTATTTTGCACAAACAATATACAGTTTAACCCGATTATAATGTCATCGAATGTAACGACAACCCTAATATAACGTCAAATTTTTATTGGTCTTACGATTTTACTATACTAGATAATGTTAAAAAAATCCACTTGTAACGACATAAAACCGTTTTAACGTCATATTTGAAGCACTCCCAAATTTACAAAATTAGGTTACAAATTTTATTTAATATAGAAGAAACTACGTGTTCGGTCCTAAGGTCAGAGTTCACTTCTTAGAATGACTGCGGGTGGTACTCTCCCCGACCTGACTTCGGTGGGGTGAGGTGGCTGTTTTGCCTGTTTGTAGAAGAGGGTCGCCATTTTGTATTTTATTTTGACTCGATTCTCGGTCCCCTGACTACCTACGAGTCTGGATTTTTTTGTGCGCAAATGATTTGGGCACCTAATACTCTGTTCCAAATATCAACTCTCGACAAGTACTCCTTCATACCTCTATGCTGGTAAGAACGAGTGGCAGTACGATTTTATAAAGAAGACATAGTCTTGTCAATAAATATATATATAATATAAAATAAAAGTCTTTAAAATATATATTTAGTCTCAATGAGTTCCCGCACTGATTGAATTATCCCATGTCTCGTAAGCTACTAGGGATGGTGCTGCCTGAATCTGTTTTTAGCATTTATCTTGTTTATATTCAAAATTAAAAAAATAGAAAACTTTACTTTCCGTCATATCTGCTAGACAAATGCAATTTCAAAACTTTACAAGAACAAAAACTAACTTTCTATTTTTTCACATTCAATGTTAATTTCGAACAGAAATCGATACGTCTTTCTTTATTTTATATTATTTAAATTGCACCTTGTAATAGAAAAATGGGTTTAAAGTGTACAATGTGAATTAAAATCGATAAATTTTATTAAAACTTCTAATAGTATCATCAAAATTGTTCAATAAAAAAACGAAATTGCTTGAAAAGAATAATCGACATATTCAACGAAATTATGTGATAATTTAAGTAAGATTCCAAATGAAAGAAAATGCCTTTAAAAATAGTAAGGAAAAAAAGAAAAACTATAATTTGCTAAATTGATTGTCAATTTTTACAAATTGATTTATAATATGGAATAAATTAGAATTATTGTTAAAGTATGCAAAATTTCAAGCTGTTGTCGTAAAATCTTTCATTTGAAGCAGTAATATTTATTACACTACAATAATTTTCATGATAAATCCTATGCATGCAATTTGTTTTAAGTTAATGAACATTTCAAAAAATAAATTGAAGTGCTTTAAAAATATTAAAATGATAATTTTATGGCATTTATATTTGTACTGTAGTATATTGCATAATTAAATATTAAAATTCTTTAATGTTGATATTATTATTGGAACAAGATTTTGTGTTTTTAATGTATAATTTTAATAAGTAAGTGTGTTTTTTCTTATATTTTAGGAATGCTTTTCGTGTTCTGGTTTGTCTTTCTCGCCATTACAAGAATTTCCGGCGAGGAAGATACTCTCCAGTCCACTAACCGTCCCATAATGGAAGTCGAAAAACAAGATTTTCCGTCTGAAATGCCAATATTTTATTCTCAGCACGTAAATGTTAGTCAACTTGTAACACTTCCAATATCCACTATTATCCATCCAGTAACAATTGATGAAAATGATTCATCTGATAATCCGCCAAATGTCAGCACGAAAGTAACTACAGTTCCAAACCAAGTAATTCCGCGATATATTACCGATGTAGAAAACATAGGAACAGAAATGGTAACTCATAATATCAAATTGCTAGGAAACATCACAGAAACAAACGCGACAAGTTCCGAAGATAGGAGGATACCAGTTAATATGATCAGTGCAGTTGCCAAATCCAAACATTTAGCACAACAAAACATTTCTCAGATATCTGAAGAAATTTCTACTTTTCCTTCAGTCAATGTTTCTGTGACAAAACATCAAGAAGTTAGATGCCCGTCGGAAAAAGACAATGACATTTGGTGGAATGATAGGAAAGTTGGAACATTGGCCGTCCAACCATGTACCACTGGGTATCATGGCAACATTTATAGACGTTGTTACGTTGGTGGAATTTGGGGAACAGCTGACTATACAGACTGCAAGCTGGAAAGATTGCAGAGATTAGGCCATCTGGTAAGGGATCTCGTTATTTTTATTTTATTTTTTTCAATAATGTTACATGAAGTAAGTACTTGGAGTTGTATTATTCCAAGATAAATGCCATTACATTCTTGTTGTTACGCACGAACAGAATTTCAAACTTTTAATTGTATTTTTGTAATCCAATAAAGTGAAGCTATTCGTATTAATTTTTATCAGTTAAAAGTAGAAATTAGTTTAAATTTTTATTAACTCTTATGTTGAAAGAAACTTTTTAATTGTTAATAATATTTAAAAAGTCATACAAAGTTTCAAATGTTAAGATGATTTTAGAATCAATCATTTTCTTTACTTTAAATATATAACTAGCATTTAAAAATACCCACAATTATATGTAAACATTATATAACTTATAAACATTTAAACAAAATACATACAAATTTGTTTTATAAATATAAATACAATTCATTAAAACGCGTTATATTCTGTAGAGCAATTAACCGAATTCAGTTATAATTTAATTATTTGGATGGAAATAAATGTATTAATTTAATACATAATTCATTATTTTCAAATAAAAATTCGTTAATAAATTATGATTTGGAAGATGATGCAATAGATAAAAAAGAAACTAAAATAAATTTGTAAGAAAGTATATATTAATTGCGACAAGAGAAAAATTAACGTCTGTATTATNTGTTTTCAGCATAAAAAGTGAATAAATATTTAAAATATAATTATAAAATTATATTAATTTTTATCTGAAAGTTTCAATGTGTTTCGGTGAAATAAACATGAAAATAAATATTAAGTTTAATGCTCCTAATTAATTTTTCCTTAAATATATTTAATTATATAATATATTTAAAATCTAAAATAAATTTTATTATTACTGCGAATTTATAAATGTGTCTAATAAAATTATTGAATAAATGATTATATTATGTATCTCAAGTTAGTGGTGATTAAATGAGAGAAATGTCACTTTTATAATTAAATTCATTAATTTCAACATTCAGAATGATCATTTAAGACAAACTCGATCGTAACTTTAGTTATGTAACTTTTGATTACAGTGATTTATAAGGGATTCCTAACATGTACTGTGGTGCCTAAATGAAGCAAAGAGGTTCATTCATCATTTTTATCATACTGATTGTAAGTCCACAATACTGTGTATCACTCTCACGTTCCTTCGATAGCAAAGCAAGCTTATCTTCTCTTTCTACTTAATATAACCACTACTGTAAATGCCTTTAATCTCCCGATCACAATTCCTTATCTCCGGGTTATATTGGTGATTTCCAGAAAAGAATTTTCTGATAAACAGAGCAAAAATATCTACTGTAAAACAGGTCAGTCGATGACAAATGACGATTTGATTACCACCGGTTACAATCAATGCTAATAACGACACTTTCTGTATTAAAAAAACGAGAAATAATTCCAGTAATAAATCACATTTTTACATTTTTGTTAGAAATGAATCTTATCAAAATGCTTTAAATGTAGTAATTTTGTTTAAGATTTATTATAAAAAATAATAATAATATACAAACTTTTATTTATTTTTTAAAATATTATTGTAAAATTATTTAAGTTAAAAGTAAATTTAATTAAAATTATTATTATTATTTTATTAGTTTTTAAAATTTGAAATTAATTTCCTCGCATGGCTTATCTCTTTAAACCTTGTTATATCTTTCAGGTTCTCTACCACCTTCATAAGAGATTACTGACGGGTTTATATCATCTAGCTGAAGAACTAGCTGATTATTTACCTGTTGCGAATATACTCAGTCCTGTTGACAGATTGCAAACAATAGATGTATTAGAAAAAATGTTGATAGCCGACGTTAACCTGCGTGCTGACAGCGATAGTGACGTTGCATACGTGGCTGTAAGCCCTCTTCGTGTTTATCATGAACAGTAATTGTTCACTTTTATAAGTTTACAAAAAAAGTAAATCCGACACAGAAAAAAAATTTACATTGATTGCCTATTCATAATCTATAAAAAAATTAATTAATTAACCTCTAGTTTCATAAAAAAAAGTGTATAATGTATTTATTAATTATAGTAGAATAATGCAACAACTTAGGATGACTTTTTTTTATTCTTAAAATAATCTATTTACTTTCTGAATTATTTTTTTAAAACTCTAAATAAATTTAAATAGATATACATAAATTCAAAATAGAATTATCTTATATTTGTTTAAGGATCTTTTGCAATGCNTGTTTTCAGCATAAAAAGTGAATAAATATTTAAAATATAATTATAAAATTATATTAATTTTTATCTGAAAGTTTCAATGTGTTTCGGTGAAATAAACATGAAAATAAATATTAAGTTTAATGCTCCTAATTAATTTTTCCTTAAATATATTTAATTATATAATATATTTAAAATCTAAAATAAATTTTATTATTACTGCGAATTTATAAATGTGTCTAATAAAATTATTGAATAAATGATTATATTATGTATCTCAAGTTAGTGGTGATTAAATGAGAGAAATGTCACTTTTATAATTAAATTCATTAATTTCAACATTCAGAATGATCATTTAAGACAAACTCGATCGTAACTTTAGTTATGTAACTTTTGATTACAGTGATTTATAAGGGATTCCTAACATGTACTGTGGTGCCTAAATGAAGCAAAGAGGTTCATTCATCATTTTTATCATACTGATTGTAAGTCCACAATACTGTGTATCACTCTCACGTTCCTTCGATAGCAAAGCAAGCTTATCTTCTCTTTCTACTTAATATAACCACTACTGTAAATGCCTTTAATCTCCCGATCACAATTCCTTATCTCCGGGTTATATTGGTGATTTCCAGAAAAGAATTTTCTGATAAACAGAGCAAAAATATCTACTGTAAAACAGGTCAGTCGATGACAAATGACGATTTGATTACCACCGGTTACAATCAATGCTAATAACGACACTTTCTGTATTAAAAAAACGAGAAATAATTCCAGTAATAAATCACATTTTTACATTTTTGTTAGAAATGAATCTTATCAAAATGCTTTAAATGTAGTAATTTTGTTTAAGATTTATTATAAAAAATAATAATAATATACAAACTTTTATTTATTTTTTAAAATATTATTGTAAAATTATTTAAGTTAAAAGTAAATTTAATTAAAATTATTATTATTATTTTATTAGTTTTTAAAATTTGAAATTAATTTCCTCGCATGGCTTATCTCTTTAAACCTTGTTATATCTTTCAGGTTCTCTACCACCTTCATAAGAGATTACTGACGGGTTTATATCATCTAGCTGAAGAACTAGCTGATTATTTACCTGTTGCGAATATACTCAGTCCTGTTGACAGATTGCAAACAATAGATGTATTAGAAAAAATGTTGATAGCCGACGTTAACCTGCGTGCTGACAGCGATAGTGACGTTGCATACGTGGCTGTAAGCCCTCTTCGTGTTTATCATGAACAGTAATTGTTCACTTTTATAAGTTTACAAAAAAAAGTAAATCCGACACAGAAAAAAATTTACATTGATTGCCTATTCATAATCTATAAAAAAATTAATTAATTAACCTCTAGTTTCATAAAAAAAAGTGTATAATGTATTTATTAATTATAGTAGAATAATGCAACAACTTAGGATGACTTTTTTTTATTCTTAAAATAATCTATTTACTTTCTGAATTATTTTTTTAAAACTCTAAATAAATTTAAATAGATATACATAAATTCAAAATAGAATTATCTTATATTTGTTTAAGGATCTTTTGCAATGCGCGGACGAATTATTAACTAGGAAAGTTATTACATTTTCATCTAATTCAGAAAAAAATGTAAGCATTTGAAACAATTCTTTTATATTTAATATTAATCGACTGATTATATTTTAATGAATGTAATATTTTTAATTATTTCTCAGTCTTTTTGTAATATTTAAGTTATTTCTCTCCAGTATCTTTTATCAACAAAATCTGCTCAAGTTATTCTTGGTCTAGAAATTTTAGCACAAAAAGCGCTACATAGTTTATTAGGAATAGAAAGAAGAGCCTTAGTATTTCGTTCTTCTCAAAATATAGGTAAATTTTTATATTAAATTATATTAATAATATTTTATATTAAAAGCTAAAGAATGAATTAATCCAGTTTATTTTCCATTTTAGTGATGTCTCTATTTAATAAACAAACTTCAATCGATCACATTTGGCCAAATAATAATAGCACAGAAGAAAAAGATGAATATTTTCCTACTTTTCTTAATATTGAATGTAAGAATAATTTACAAGTTTTCTTGCAAAGATTTCCAATAATTTACATATTTTAGTGCAAAGATTTAAAATAATTTAACTTACATCTTCATCGCATTAATATCTTTTCAGTCACACGTTTAATTATACTATATCGTAACATTAAAAATTAATTTTTGGAAATCTTTTAGACTCTGATGTGGAAAATATGGCTTTTGCCTTTATTTGGATCCAGCATCTGGGAAAAATCTTAAATACGGCCAGGATGATGTTGAACAGCGACGTAGTCATAGCAACGGCCATTACTTCTGTTTCCCCTCAACCAATTCCTTTTGAAGTGACGCTGAAAATGAATAAGGTTAGGGGAAAAAAACTAGTTAGAAACATTTTTTTCTCTATTTTAAAATAGATATATTCAGCATGACTAATCTCAGAATATTTTTTTGAATAATTTTCTTGTTGATAGATTGATATAAACAAAACTTGAAAATGTTTAACCGTAAAACCAAGCAAAGGAGAAAAAATAATAATAAAGATAAATCAATACTTTAAAATTAAATTTACACTTTAGTGGATTTGTTTACATTTACATAATTCATAATTTTATTATAAAGCTTTTTTATTAAATTTATTAATAGCTTAATAGAGGAATTTTATCGATAAAATTCTATTCTATAATTAAAAATAACTTTTTTCTCCGGTTGTTGAAGGTACAAAATGAAGGTGAATATGTCCACAGTTGTGCAGTGCTGCAAAATTCTAGCAAGTAAGATTAAGTTGTTAATTTTAAAAAATTCTTTAATTAAAATTATAGCAGATAAAAAAGAAAGAAAAAATTTTTTAAAAAAAGGTTCTATTTATACCTTTATAAAATTAACATTTTCTATAAGATATATAGAACAAAATCCATTTAAAAATTCTACTAAATTTTCTGTAATTTTATGACATTTTTAAAATACTTTAATATATTTTGTTAAATTTAAATATGTAAACATCATTGTATCTGTAAAAGACATAAAAACATTTGATGAAAAAGTTTGTATTAAAAATTAATAAAATTAAACCTTAATAGTTACAATATTTTTAATTAAAAAAAGGGTATTTTTAGAATCTGGTCTACCGAACGATGTCATATAGTATTTAGAAAGAAGGATACCATCACGTGTCATTGCCAAGATCTTCTTGCAGTGGCTTTAATTTTGCAAAAATCGGAGAAAAGAGTAAGAAAAAATTCATATTTTTAAATTAAATTTATTTAGTTTTATTTTATTTCAATTTATAGTGGTTAAATTTAATAAATTTAATTTCAAAATAAAAAATTTTTTAACTTTTAAAAATTTTAAAATAGTTTATGTTTAGTATGAACAAATGCATAAGAAATCTTTTTAATATTACTTTCATTTCTTTTCTTAAAATATCTCTTATTTTATTATAAATTATTTAATTTGCTTCTAAACTTTATATTAATATGTTTACTACAAATATGAGATTATTTTATTTATAACAGCATGGATTTTAATATGCAAAGAGTAAAGATAAATATCTTTAGATCTCGATGTTGATAGGATTTATTGCCTTAAAATTATCTAATTGCTTATATTTATTTAATAAAAAATGAATTTCCAAATTACTTAAATTGTAAGTATAATAATAATTATTCAATTTTATCTTCTACTCTTTTTGTAACAAGAAGAAAGGGTTTTAAAATGCTAGCATAATCAAAAGTAAAGCATTCATTCAAATTGTTTTTTTTTTCTATCAGGATCGATTGCCTACTAGAAACCTAAATTTTAGAAAACATCAATATTTTACTGTTTCTTATTTCGAATTCTTTATATTCTGTTTCAATAATTATGTTTAAATTATTGAAATTTTCTATATTAAACGAAAGTACAATGTCCCATTTTTGAAACAAGAAGAAAATATCCTTCTTTTCAGTTTAGAGAAAGCTTTTANTTTTATCGATAAAATTCTATTCTATAATTAAAAATAACTTTTTTCTCCGGTTGTTGAAGGTACAAAATGAAGGTGAATATGTCCACAGTTGTGCAGTGCTGCAAAATTCTAGCAAGTAAGATTAAGTTGTTAATTTTAAAAAATTCTTTAATTAAAATTATAGCAGATAAAAAAGAAAGAAAAAATTTTTTAAAAAAAGGTTCTATTTATACCTTTATAAAATTAACATTTTCTATAAGATATATAGAACAAAATCCATTTAAAAATTCTACTAAATTTTCTGTAATTTTATGACATTTTTAAAATACTTTAATATATTTTGTTAAATTTAAATATGTAAACATCATTGTATCTGTAAAAGACATAAAAACATTTGATGAAAAAGTTTGTATTAAAAATTAATAAAATTAAACCTTAATAGTTACAATATTTTTAATTAAAAAAAGGGTATTTTTAGAATCTGGTCTACCGAACGATGTCATATAGTATTTAGAAAGAAGGATACCATCACGTGTCATTGCCAAGATCTTCTTGCAGTGGCTTTAATTTTGCAAAAATCGGAGAAAAGAGTAAGAAAAAATTCATATTTTTAAATTAAATTTATTTAGTTTTATTTTATTTCAATTTATAGTGGTTAAATTTAATAAATTTAATTTCAAAATAAAAAATTTTTTAACTTTTAAAAATTTTAAAATAGTTTATGTTTAGTATGAACAAATGCATAAGAAATCTTTTTAATATTACTTTCATTTCTTTTCTTAAAATATCTCTTATTTTATTATAAATTATTTAATTTGCTTCTAAACTTTATATTAATATGTTTACTACAAATATGAGATTATTTTATTTATAACAGCATGGATTTTAATATGCAAAGAGTAAAGATAAATATCTTTAGATCTCGATGTTGATAGGATTTATTGCCTTAAAATTATCTAATTGCTTATATTTATTTAATAAAAAATGAATTTCCAAATTACTTAAATTGTAAGTATAATAATAATTATTCAATTTTATCTTCTACTCTTTTTGTAACAAGAAGAAAGGGTTTTAAAATGCTAGCATAATCAAAAGTAAAGCATTCATTCAAATTGTTTTTTTTTTCTATCAGGATCGATTGCCTACTAGAAACCTAAATTTTAGAAAACATCAATATTTTACTGTTTCTTATTTCGAATTCTTTATATTCTGTTTCAATAATTATGTTTAAATTATTGAAATTTTCTATATTAAACGAAAGTACAATGTCCCATTTTTGAAACAAGAAGAAAATATCCTTCTTTTCAGTTTAGAGAAAGCTATTAGAATAATTCATGTAAATTATTTAGGGCTGAGATATCTGTGTGCCTTTATATAGAATAATAATTACATAAAATAAGACAAAATATTAAAAATTATAATTTAAATATACGTTCTATAAAATATATTGTGCGTCAATTCTTTCTGTTTATTAAAGCGTAATATTTAAATGAACGTCTTGAAAATTTTATCATAGTTATTAATTTTAGAAATTATTACCATTATTTCTTGTATTATTCTTACAATAATGCGTACTTATTGATAATTGAGTACTCTTGTGATGTGATAAAGTAAAATAATATATGTAAGGCATGTATTTGAATATCACTTAGCTTTTATATTATTTAAAAAATTTAGAAAAAATTAACTTGCGTATGTTTCTTTAGAAAATAGTAAATTTAATTTAAAAAATGTCTAAATGTTCGTGTCTTTTAATTTTTAATTAAAGCTAACGATAATTCCTTTCGTGTGAATAATATTAAAATTTTTTATTAAAAATATTTCAGCTATGGAGATTTTATGAACTAATATCTTAGATACAAACTAAAATCGATCATTTGAATTTTTCTTTTGTACAAAATTCTATTTTAAAAATTCAAAACTTATTGTTATTATTTTATTCGTGGGTATATTATAATAGATGCGATGATTTTATACTGGAGTGATGAAATTCACAGAATAAATTTTACACGTGAAGCAAAAAATTTTAACAATTTGGCCTTCGGGGAGTAAGTAATGCATTTTACCATTTCATTATTCAAGGTTTTATGAGGATTTTTCGAAACTACTTGAATAAGTGCGATCAAATCTAACGTTGCCTATTCGAAATGGAAAAGTTTAAACATTTTTTAGAAGTGAGAAGATGGAAATATATTTTATTACCGAACTTTTATAATTTAAATAATATAATGTATTAAAAATATTAAGAATTTAAAGAATTTTATTAATTAATAATAATGAAGTTTTTATAGTTTTATCAAGTTTAGGGATCACGGCACTAATTTAATCGTACAATTTTCATAAAATTAAAACAAATAATAGATTAATGTGATAGAAATGTTAACCAACGCATTATTAACTAATTTGTAAATCGTATATCCAACATATCAGAATCCAACTTGACAAAACTTCTCTTACTTTGCATGAATTTTAATATTACAAAATGCATTTATGTCATTCCAAGTTTTAATTAATTAAAATATAAGTGTATATCATTTAATAGAATGACAATTCAGTTCAATGTTTTAAGAACGTAACTAGTAGGCATTTGGTTTATTAATTTTAAAACTGTGATGATAATTTCATAGCCTGTAGTAAATTTTCTCAATACAGTATGTCATTTAATTTTCCTCTTACCATAAATTGCTTAACTTTATATATATTAACTCATTTCTCCAGTTGGATAGTTTGTAATTTCAATGAATCTATGATTAGTTTGAAAGGGTGATGTTGGACGTATCTGTAATAAAGTGACAAAATAATTGATTTATTATACTCTATTCAATTGTTGCTAACTCGATAGCAAATGCGCAGAAAAATCATGATTAATTCATTTTTAAGTTTAAATATATATATATATATATATTTGAAGTTAAAAATATATATATAAGGATAAAATGATTTATGGATATTTTGAAAGAGCTGTTTTTCAAAAGATAGCTTTATTTTCCTTTCAATGATTTTCAAACTGTAATCTTTTTGGCTATTTTGTATTTCTCGAATTCATCTTTTATTTTAATCTGTAGCAAAGAAACAATCCATTCTTTTCTGTTTCCTTTTCTTTTCTTACTTTTGGACTTCTAAAATGGAAGTAGATTCTAAAGCTAAATAAAAAAAAAGACGATTTAAATTGATGGATTTGTAGTTACTGTGTAAGTAGCCGTAGAAAGGAAGATACCTAAGGGAAATTCTTTCTCTAGCAGAAAGAATAATTTGCAAAATTTGTTCTCTTTGCCAGAATTGTCACGTATTAGGTTTTCTTCGCTTTAAGATTATTTTTTCTTGAAGTCCCAATAGCAAAAAAAAAAGAATAAAAAAATTATTGTTGTGTGCCATTCAAAAGTCAACAAAACATTATTTTATTATTTAAAATGAAATATTATTTTATAAAATAAAAATATACTCGTACTTCTATATAACGAAATTTGCAAGTTTATTTCAAATATATCTGCATGAAAATTTCTCTTTTAAATTTTAATGGCTATGAAATATACTTTGTAAAATTTTTTCGTATATGTACTGTATATAATGTATATCCAATATATTTGTTTACAATTAAATTCTATCCATTGGTAAGTTTAATTAAATAATATTGACATATAATGACATAACCTTCATTATTACGATATGTATTTCTGTGCTTTTAAACTATTATTAAATCTAACCTGGTTACTGCAGGGAGAAAATCGAAGAATAGTGATAAAAAGAGAGAATCCTAAAAATATCTTTGAAACGTCCAGCTTTATGATAAAAATTGTTTTCTCTCAGGTCTTAGAATCAAGAATGGATGCTAAAAGACCCCAGGGTAGTCCTACAAAAGAGATGAATGATAGCTAGAGATGAGATGCTCTTGTACTAAAAAATAGTTATATATAGAAATCTGTGGAACCATTTTCTTTGACATATATGCCAAGCATATTGCTATAAAGTGAAATTATTCCTTTTTTAAATTCCTCAACAGTAATTAGAACAGACATACAAACTAATAAATTACATCAAGATAAACGAATAAATCAATCACATTACAAAATGTTTAATTTAATGAGTAGTTTGAACAATACTTTAATTTATTATTTCATGCGAAAATTATTAAGAAGCGAAACGTATGAAATATGAAATTTAATTAAGCATTTAAACAGATTATTGTTTTTTTTTTTTTTAATTTCAGATCAAAGAATATCCATCTCATTCATTTAGTCGTGTCATCGTTGCCAGTTGTGGTGTATCTTTTATAGCTGTGGTATTGACGTTAATTGCCAACCTTCATAGATACAGGTACAAGGGGAAAAATACATTTTAATTTAAACGATAATTCTAATTAGTACAATATTTAATTATCATTAAATAAACTTTAAATTTAAAAAGAAAAAATATATATGCATTCTCCAGAAATATTTTACACACTACTTTATTTACATTTTAATGAGATTTAGTATAAAATTATAATTTTAACGAAAAACAATTAACAGTCTGAACATTGTCTGAATTTTTAAATTATACATTTTATCTACAATTTATCCTTTTTTATAATAATATAATTATTCTATTTTAATTACAGATTTTGATTTTAAATTTTAGTGTTTACAAAAAATATAAATGTTTAGTTTCGGAGTTTAAATTCTACGAGTTTCTTTTCCAGAAAAAACTGTCCAGAATCCTCTCCTATTTTATTGAATTTACTGATTGCCATGGCAACAATCCAAGTGGTATTCATGGCCGGTATCAACGCTACCCAACATGAGGCAAGTGCATTTCTTACAGATGCTCTATGAATAGCAAATATCATTAACTGTCCGTTGGTTTTCAAACAATTAACTGAATTCTAGACTCGTACTTAACTAATGTGACTTATTTTTAATTAAAAAAATTTTTTCTCCGTTTTCGGTATTATACAAAAGTAACTTGATTAGCTTTTTTTTATTGTTGTTTTGTTCGTTCGATCGAGTAAGTAAAATTACTTTTTTAAGCTTTAAATTTTTACTTAATTTTTTAAAATACTTTAAACATTATACATAAAGTTATGAAAAAAATATAAAAATATATTAACAAATATTTTTTTATTCTGCAATTAATGCAATAAGTTATTAAATAAACTTATACACGAACAACATTCTACTTACTGCCTTTATGCTTTAATTTTTATTGCGCGAATGGAATATAATAATTATTTTATAACATTTTTATATACGAAAAAATATATCTTACAGATTTATATTTTATTTTAAAAAGTAATTTTGATAGTTATTTTATTGCATTTGAATAATACCAAATATACTTTCAATAGCATAAAATATCCATCAATAAAACAATACAATAAGGTAATATTTTTTAATGATTATCTTTGGTAATAATTTTATATTTTTTAATATTAATATTTCAAAAATATTTACATTAAACGGTTTACTTTTAGTAAAGATATCTACTATTATTACTTTTATTAATTATATAATTTAATTCAACAGTTTTTCTGTTAATAATTTCATCGGACAAATATCTATAAAATGAAAAGTTGTAAAAGTTTATGAAAATCTTAAAAAAATTAAATGTGGGTAATAAAAACTGTTTTAAAAATTCCATATTTATAAAGAATATTTTACTATAAAATATTCTTTGTTTATTTCTACAATAATTTTGAAAAATTAACAATTCTTCGTATAATCAATGTAAACAAGAATAAAGATTCAACGTAAAGATTTTGATTAAATAAATTAATCAAATTTTTAGACCTTTTCTGAATGTGTTCTTAATCTGTTAAAATCATCTCAAATAAGTTTACTAAGCTTCTGAAGTGCGATTCTCTTACATGATCTTATAATCTCATCTATCATCGAATTGGGTGTTAAGTAATTACATTCACGAATTTACCTTAGTAGATGAGTCTCTTCGAAAGTCTACCAATAATATGCTTAAGTATTCAAGCTCATTCCTTCAGATTAACTCTAGTAAAGAAGATAATTTATTGTGATTAAAACTTTAATATTAATCAATTCGTTGTTAAACATATTTTCGATTTTCTAGAGTAAATGCTTAATATACCAAACTAAAATTTAATACGATTAACATTGTGGTAAAAGTTAATTTGTAAAAGGATCTTAGCGAATTTTTTTCCCTTCTTTTTTCTAGAAGGTAGGTAGAGAGGTAATCTATATACAGAAAGCTAATAGAAAACCTACTAAGTTACATCAATTCCATTTTTTTAATGCAAATATACTGTGTATACCTGACATATGCTAGAAATAACACTGTTATGAATATGAAATTTGACTCTTATTGATAAAAAAAAATTGCATACTCTTTTTCTAAACTTTCATATTATACTACACAGAATGTTGATAAGTTGCAGTAATAGTTTATGATAATTACTTAGATTATACCTTAGTAAGTTATACTATATCTTACTATCGAATATATACTTACAGCATACATACATAGTAAGATATATTGTATCTTCCTACGATCTATCCTAATGATAAAATAGTGGTCATTTTATATTTCACTATTTAATTATAAATTTATAAAATTTGGGAATAAATTAAATATTCATAACTATTTGGCTAAGAAAATTTATAATTATTCAAGCAGTCATTGCAAATATTGATAATTATAATTTATCAAATCCTTGTTGGGCTACAATTTGAAAAAAATTGAAGACCTATAAATTCCCACTGTCGTATGTTTGTCTATCAGTCCGTCTGTCCGTCCTTAGTCTCGAGAACGGAGTAATGTAAATGGAAGAAGAGAACAGATATGGAATCAGTACGGGCAGAAGGCCCTGGTTAATTATAAACGGGAAATCATGTTATTTTAGTTCAAATATTTTCTCCTGGAAGGTGTTAGATAGATGATAGGCACGACTCTGTTGCTAGCAGGAAAAGTATGATGTACAGTACAGGGGCAAGCCACCACTAATTTGAGGTGGAGAGCATATGTTTTAAGTTTAATTAATCAAAAATCTGATTAAAAATTGCAGTTCGGCATTGTGAGGATGTCACAATAAGTAATTGCTCATTTATAAGATAAAACATTTTTTTGGTGATTAAACTTTTACTCACTCTTTGATTTCTCTGTGTTGCTTTAAAAAATCTATTTTTATCTTACATAGTTCTTTACTGATGGAATTATTACCAGAAACATTTTCGATCTGTTAAGTAATGTAAAGATTATTTCTAATATCTTAATGGATATTTTTCTGAAGTTGAAATCGAGATATATTAATAGAAGTGCAATAGCATAATGCATCTTTAAAGATGTTTTTTAAGGTTTAGACGTAATCCTAATTTACGGCACAAATACGGTAAATTTAAAGATGATTTGCTATAATCTGCTAATTATTGTTTTACTTTTGAAGTATTATTTAACAACAGATTTAAAAAAAAAAAAAANACATAGCTGAAATATTTGAAAATTAGTGATGTATAACCGTATTCATTCCAGGTGATAATTCAAGTGAAAAATATATTTTCAAAGGGTTCTATAATACAATATCTTAAAATAATTACGATAATGATTATCAACATATAAAAAAATTTTCTTCCATAAAATTAATTGATTCTAGACTAATTTGACTCAACATTTCCAAAACATGTATAATTTTTTGGTAATAATCCATATAAACTATGCTATAAACAAAAAATTGTAGGATTACTTACCGAGTGTGCACCGTTTGACGACGCCATTGCTTAAGCTTGTTTTGTTTTGTTGTGGAGTGGCGCATCGAATGGTGGGCGCGTGTTTCCTGATAAGTTATTTTTCTGTGAAAAGTTTGCTGAACTTTGGAGACATCATTAATATAAATATAATTTTTATGGCTGTTAAATAATAAATGGTTTTTAGTAGGTCTGCTGCTCATTTAAACTCAATGGTTTGTGCAATATTCGCTATTGGATTCAAGCAATCTTGTCATGACACGAGTCGGAGATCATGTTTTACTGTGTTATATGAGTCTCTTTTAGCGTGTTTATATGAATACAATTGCAATTTTTAGCTGTTTTATATGAATCTGTATTATATGAACCCGTTTTATAGGGGTCTACTGTAGTTTAAAAAAAAAAGTTGGTTTCTTAAATTAAAAATGCAATTATTTAAAATGCTTTAAAAAATGATCTTTAGAATGTTTTGTAATTTATCATTTTCACGTTGCATAAAAAGAAATTTTATTAAAAATTATGAGAGGATGACATATGAATTTATTCTGCAATGTAATTGTTGTTTATTTCTAGAATACTATATTTAGCTTAAAATGAATTGATTTAAGATTTGATATTAAAGTTGAGTATGAGAAAATATTTACTTTTAACGGCAGTGAAAATATCAATTAAATATTTATCAAATATAAATATTAAATGTTTGTGCTAAAAATATTGATATTTCTCCTGCAAGCAAATGATCACTTATTTAAAAGAATCACACAATTTATGATAACTTATCATTTTAAATTGCATGCAATATTACTTTTATTAAATGTTTTATTAGGATTCTGTAAATGAAAATAATGTTAATACTGTATTTGAGTTGTGGGTTCAAGTCTTGATCTGGGCCTATTCTTGCAGAAATTCTAAATTATATTAATGTTTACAGCTAGACTAAAAAAAATTGCATTTTATTGATTTGTGAAGATGTACATCTAAATGAAAAATATGTTTATTGAATAACTGATAATGACAAATTTTCATTTTAAATTAAAAAATAATTCATTATTATTCAAGTGGTTACAAAATAAATTGTTTTATTACTCTCTAAATTGCTATTATATTCTAACATTTATAATTTATTCTAACATTTAACTGCATTATCACAGCTTGTAAATTATTTTGAATACTCTTTGATAAGCAATTTGAAGTTATTTACCATTGAATTCTATGGTGAAAGTTTGAACAATTTATACTTATTGTTTGAGATATCCATTTATACCACTGAAACAAATGCTGTTTATATGACATTGTAGTGTAATATATCAGATAACAAGACTATCACTTTCTTATCTGTTTTTATTTTAAACAGATTTTATCAGGTGTTTAAACCATTACAGAATGTATTGATTAATAATTTCTTCATGAATTGTATCTTTAATCTTGTGGCAACCATCTACTTTTTTCTGTATGTCCTGATTACAAGGATATAATGAAAAGGTAAATACAGCATCTAGATTGGCAGCATTTTTATTCACTTTATTCTTGATGTGATATGCTGATCAATGAGAATAACAAACTTTCAGTTTAGAACATGGAGCAATAATAAAGAACATTAACTTTTTCAGATGATGCTAGTTCTTTTATTTGCTCTATTGAAAGGTTTGCAACATTGTGGAATTGATATATTTTATCCAATCTTTAAAAAAGATACTGAATTAACACATTCTTCTCTTTTTATGAACATATATCAAAATACAGTAGAGCGTCGTTTATCCGAAAGAATTCCAGTCAGCAAATTTAAATTTTTGCCAGTGCTGTGACGCTGCAATCTTCGGCTATGTCTTGGGCTACTCAAATATGTTACATTTTTTATACTAAATTAACTACTGAAGTATAATTTTTTATTGTTTTTATATTTTTCAATATATTTATTTTGTACAAAATAAAGAAATCATTTTTAACGATACAATAGCCACGATTATTATTTTAAGAAGTATACGTTAGGCTTAACATTGACGAAAATTCAATGCAAAGCGATACGCAACGGAGAAAAATTTCAGGATGGGATAGGTTAATATTTTTTCGTATATAATCAGTTATCCGAGCAACCCCAGTCCCCAATTGATTCGGATAAACGATGCTCTACTGTACTACATTTATATCCTATTCATTGTTTGATACTTATTAATCTGCTTTAAATTCCATATACAAGTCTATTAATTGCATTGTTTTATATCTAAATTGTTTTCCAATATTGTCTATTCTTAATATAATCATGTTGTTTTATTGTAAATAACAATGCATTTTGCCTAGTGAAATGGAATTTTAACCATTTGCACATTAAAATGTTATATTTCTTGAAAGATAAAAGTTAAAATATTTTTTTGCATTTCAATAAATTACTAAATTATATATAAACCACAATAGAATTATTATGATGTATAACAATTAGATTTATTGCAATATTGATTCCAAATATTTTAATTAATTCTAATGTATGCAGTTTATATACAATCACTTAAAAGATTCTAGATGATTTACCTGAAAGATGAATGTTATCAAATTATATGTAAACATAATTTATTTAAACATAATTAATGGATTTTTAATTAAAATTGATTTGTAAGTTGATAAGTTATTGAAAATTTGAACTCAAATAAATTAATTAAAATATTATTAATATTTTTTACTTAGTAATTGAAAACTAACTTTACTATAATTGGATATGGACATTTAACCATCGTAATAATTATTTAACTGTTATTAATGGATTCTTTTTAATTAAAATATAAATTCTAAAACTATCTTTAACGGTATTTATTATACGTGTCTCATTTATAAACGTTTTAATATAAGAAATGTTACGTTCAGGTACGACGCAGTCTGAAAACCAAATTTGTGAGAAGGAAGAAGAAACGACGTAATTCGGCTATCAAGTTGAAAAGAGGTTGTTTCTTATGTTCCCGGGAGCAATCAGTGATTTCTTTAGACGAAGAAGGTGGAAGACCACTTCTGGCTGAAGGCCCTGCAGCAACCTCTTTGCAGACAGAACAAGAAAATGATAAACTCCAGAGTTTCGTGCACAGTTACAGTGTATGACGTTTCGTGTGGTTGTGACGTGGTTCTTTTTTGCCTATAATATGTATGGTTGGTCAGGTGATTTCACTGTTGTCGTAGATTTCGTTCTATTTCCGTTCCTAGTCAAGTGACGTCGTCACGTCATTCCATTAAATGGCCACTCTCACTCCAGATTAGAATTGGAAAGTTGGAAGTGGTGCTATTTATTTAAATAAAAGAGAGATATATACGAAAGAATGTTTTCTGGGACACTAATAGAACCCTAGAATAGTCTACTTCGATAATTTTCTCTCTCGTTCAGCTATTTCCTTCTCATTGTGATTAACTAAGTCAAATAGAGCACACTTGTGAATAAAATGTAATCGACGGTGAAACTTTGGTCTTTTACTGAAAGTTTAGAGGAGATAAAACCATTCATCTTTCATTTTTTGGTAGAATTTGATCATCAAAAAATCACCAACTCATAATTTTTTCAAAATATTTCAAACTACTTGTATATAGCTCATGTTTTAATTCTATAGATTCTCAACTATATACATAGCCTATATATATGTATGTATGTATGTATATATATATACAGATATATATATATATATATACATACATATATATAATATATGTCTATAAAAAAATTATATATATATATATAAAATGTATATGAGACCAAAGTTACACCCATCGTATAACTCACAAATGATAATTAATTCTATACCTTAATTGGTGTAATGTGTGGTTTGAAAATTGAAATAAAATACTTTAGAAGATAAGAACTGTATGTAAAGAGCGATTGAATCGTGTTTTTATCAAGACAACTATAAAAAAAGCGTTTCAATGGTCGTCGGCCAAATATAATATTGGAAAAATCACAATCGATATAGTAAGATAGTCATTCATTTCTCCATCAGTCAAATCCAATAGTAATATTATCTACTTTGAATTATCCTATAGAAATATGAAAAAAATTCTTTTAAAAAAATGGGGATTATGTGCTAAGATGAACGTTATTTCTGTTCAAAAGCCAATTAAGCACTTAATCCAATGGAACTTAATCATTTAAAGTTGATAACCGTCTCAAAAAATCTTGATTTAATATTAAATTTCATTGTAAATTTGTTTATTGTTTCTCTCAAGAAATGCATTTTATTCCCTCTGTATTACTGGAAATTTNATAAGGTTAACTGTTTATTTTTGTATAATTCTTAATATAGACTAGAATTTCATTTTAAATAATAAAGAAATTTGTTACTTATTTTTGCACAGATGTTTTTATCACATTGCGTCTTGGCTGCATTAATAAGGGTCCACGACGCGTGGTGGTATTCACACATTGCCAGATCGCATTTTGGTTAATTATTAGAAAAATGTACACACGAATTTCGCTTTGTAGTATTATTGAATATGACAAAACTCATTGTGCGCATTTTTGAAAATGCCACGACACGAAATTTACGTAGTAGCTGAATCTGAGAAGTTAGAATGCGTTGTGTTGGAGTGTTTTTGGTCTTTGAGCGTAACATATATACAGGTATCCCTCGTGTAACACGGTAGTTACGTTCCGTAAAAGGTCCGTGTTATGAGAATTCATGCTATACGAAACAAAGGACTAATGCAAAACATTGGGTTACGATCCAGAAGTTACCAAAAGTATACTCTTATTTTTCGTTACTAACAGAAATATGCTTATTAAAGCAATCAATAATTAATTAACAATCACAATTAAAAGTACTGTATTATGCGTTAATATTAATTTTATTTAAACGAGGGCGTTTTCTTTTTACGAAGTATCGTCGTCATCCCAGCTTTTTTGTTAATCTTATCAGTAACATTTTTCATATTTTTCAACATAAAAATTTTTTATGGATGACGAAATAAAAATATGTTATTTATCAAAAATTTCTAGCTGGTCGCGTTCTTTCGATTGATTACCGAGCGACATTTTTCCAGAATTTGTGTTCGAATACCGAATTGTTCGAGTACCGAATTGTTCGAGTACCGAGATATCGCTATATTTCGTTCGTCATTTTTACGAATGAAGTAATCATTCGTAGGTAAGTAATGCCTATGGTTAAAAAAGTGTTTAATAACATTTACCTAAAAATGTTTAAATAAACTTTACTAGAAGATTAATCTATAAAAAGAAAACACAGTGACAGTCTAAAGGGCTAAAGCCTGAAAGCAACGACAATGACACCTTGTTGAAAGGAAAGTTATTGCAATTTTTTCTTCTTTGTTCTATCAGGTTTCATTAAAGTAAATCTGACGAAAAGCACAAAATACTGTAATTTGAAAATTTTAATACTCCAAAATCCATGGGCAAATTTGATACAGCACGCATGATTACGCGACTAAAAAAATATCGAATAACGAAATTTCCGCTTAAAAATTGTGAAATTTTGTACGAAATATTTCCAAAACCGTGTTAGAACGAAACCGGAAGTCGTGTTGTACGAGGATACTCCCAATTTTCAGACCGTGTTAGAGCGAAACCGTGTTGTATGAGGGATACCTGTATATATACTGTATAAAGCTATAAAGCAATGAGTATCGAAAAATGTGACATATAGCAAATCAACATCAGCAGTTCATCTGCGACAACCTGTCTATATTCAGCCGATCATACAATTCCAATATCGCACTCCAGCAAACCAGAAATTCCACTATGATTTGTCTAGCTCTTTAAAGATTATTCGACGATTTCGAGTACTTACACTACATTTGGATTTAAAAGTTTATCTCAATCCGCATATATTTTGATAGTCGTTATGTATTTATTATATACTTTTCTAATTAACCTACTTTTGTGTTTGAGATGAAAATCATTTTTATTCCGGACGATAATAATGGCAGCGCATTCAGATTCGTTACAGTGCGGTTCTATTTTACCTTCTAAAATTTATTTTTTTAATATATGCATTTTATAATATATTTTTTTTCTTAAATATCCGTCTCTCGCTTTGCCAGTGCAATTAATTTATAATTTTTCTTTGTTTTACAAACTTTGGAGCTGTCTATAAATTTTGTAACACAGATATGTGGATGGGTATGCAGATAATCGTTACGATGCGTTACAAGGAGATGGAGGTGTTTACAAAACCGTTATGTAATGATAGGATCGCAATCTTCGGGTAATATAATGAGTTTTTACTTCCGAACAGTTGCATAGCGAACCGTACTATCAATATTTATGTCACTGCTTTAAAAGTAATTAATATAATAATGTGCTTACAGTGCTGTATTGTTCTTTAGTACAATTAAGGGATGGATTTAGGATACGCATTAAGTAATTTTGGGGTAGTTATGTGGAACGCGTTATGAAACGTTATAAGAGATGGGATATTAATCGAAAATTATGAAAATAGCGTTACGTAATTTATGGACTACTCCATATACTGATTCTTAAAGATCCTTACGATCATTTAACCGCAAAGAAAACAAATACAATATCCATTGAAATATAAAAGAAATTGAATACAGACTGCATCATGTATATATTAGCAGCGTGGTTGCGCCGCACGCCTGATAGTTTCAACATAGTGTAGTATTTACCGTAGTTTCTGAAGTTTAAATCTATGCCAAATTACCTTTACATTTTAATTTCGACTTTTACATTTTTAGCAATCAGCGTCAAAGCTGTTAACTTACAGATTAAATGACGAATTCGACTTCATTTATTTAACGATATTGTAAATATTATATATTGAAACAAGACGAAGCAATTAGACTACGTCAACATTCCGCCAACCAATTCTCATTATCAAACGTTCGCCAAAACTAACACTTAACATAACACGTATTGTTAAGAACGCGTGACAATGAATCGGATATTTTAACAGTTAACCTGATTAATAAAATTAACCATTTAATTATAATTTTCAGGAAATTTGTTACAGCATATCCATCACACTTCATTATCTATCTTTGGTTGCAAGTTTTTGGATGGTTTCTTTTACCATACAGCTTTATCGTCGTCTTCGAAAATCGTCTAAGCAAATAGATTTAAGAAGAATAATCCGCAGTTATTTTCTTCTTTCTTGGACTGTGCCAATTGCTCTTGTAACAATTTCATTTACGATTAATCCTAGTGGCTACGAAACCAGAAGATAGTAAGTGGATTCTATATATTCTGTTTGTCTTTGTTCTTTCATCAAATTATTTATATCATCGTGTTATATTGCTTTATAAATTAGCTTACACATCAATCTAAATACCGATTCATCTTGAAATTAATTGAATAAAAATAATTAAAAGGTTTATAAATTATAGTCTTAAGATTAAAAAACATTTAACAAACCTTTCTGTGATTTTTCGTCATTAATTTATCTCCAATGTGAAGATATATAACTAAATTACATTTACGTCTCTAAATTTATTAAAATAAGAAGAAAAAAATTATAATTACTCGCTATTTAGTTTTTTTAACATATGATCTAATTAACTGTATTATGTTCTTCCTACTCCGTTGTTATGCAGTATAAATGTGGTTTAATAAAAAGTTGTTTCCAAACTTAACTATCAAAAACATTTAACTTCAAATATCAAAAATCTTGATGAGTCTGGAGGATTGCCAAAAATTCTGCACTCATTTCTGCTCTGTATCATCTGCAAACACGTTAGAAACATTTAAAAAAAATAAATTTTTAACCATTTTTTTCTTAATTCTATATATTAAGTTTTTATAGACTTTTCATTAAATTATATTTGCATTTTTTAATGAATTTTTTAAGTAATATTTTATTTTGTTTATAAGTTTCAATCGGGGAAAAAATTGTTTCGGAGTTTAAAATTATAATAAATTATATAATTTTTAAATTATTTTCCCTGTTTTCAAGTAAATTCAAAAAGAAGTGGTCGTTATTTCAACAAACGTACGCTTATGAGACGATGCGAGATAAAGAAAATTTGTTTGGTATTAAAGTAGAATATTAAAAATATATATATTTATTTTTTAAAACAAATTATGTTTATTGCTATTTTAAATGGATATGGCTTTCCTCTGATTATATTTTTCGAATTATAAAATTCGCTCTTATTGCCGCTTTAAGAAAATTGTTACATAAATATTAAGAGATTTCAGAGGTTACGAAAATTATATTAATATTGAAAATGGCTATTTGAATAATCAAATTAAAATTAAACTTTTTTAATAATTATTTTAATGAATACGTATTAATTCGTAGAATAATTAAATTTTATATTTTAAATGTATTTTAAATATTTTATTATAGAAGTAATTAATTTTTTTTCTTTCATCAATCTGCTAAAAATTTAGTTTTTAATTAAGTTTAAGTAATATTTAGTTAAAATAGATGTTTTAATATAAAATTTTAACTAATATTAATATCAAAACAAATTAAAATTAGTTTAAAAAGTTAAAACTAATTTTAATATTAATTTTTTTAAATGATTTTAAAAAATTAAAATAATAATAATGCTTTTAAACGAAAAATTATTAACTAATAATTATATTAGTTTTAAAACTTTTTAAATCAAAATTAACAATTTCATCTATAGTTAAAATGAAAGTTTATATATTCAAGTAAAAATGACTTGAAACTCATTATAAATTTATTCATTTAAATATTACTGAGTAAATTATGGCTTATTTTATCTAATAAGATAATTTCCGAGTGATAAATAATTCAAATTTGTAAATTTTCAAACTAATTCTTCAATTTATAAATGAAAAGAAGAAAAATTAAATCTTATTAGAAAGTCATGACTTAACTAATTTTCTTCGATCTAAATTTTTTATTATTCGAAAAGCGGTAATATAAAGAATTTTCTGATTTTGAAACAAATTTCTGGTATGAAAACCATTTCAATATAATTAAATTAGCTTAAATTATTGGAAAAATTGTCACATTAGACTTTGCACTATTTTTATTTTTCAGTTGTTGGTTATCCATACAAAGAGGAATGTTAATCTCTTTTATAGTGCCGATGTCTCTTCTTATATTGGTAATTATTTGAATTTTTGAGATTTTAATATTCTGTATAAAAAGAAAAAAAAATTAAAATTATAAAAGTTTTAATACGGAATTATATTTTCAATAGATAAATACAGTTTTCATGATTTTGGTATTGAAAACGTTCTTTCAACAAAGACCAGTGACACACATGTCAGAAATAGAAAAAACCAGGTTAGTTATTGCTTGTTTTTTTTTCAATTATTAAATTGTATAAAATGTCTAATTATTTCGAATTTAAGACTGTACTGTACACAATACTTTGCATAAGACTTGTACTGTACATAATGAAAACTTTGCAGTACAGTAGAACCCCGATTATCCGAGGTAATGTGAACCGATACAACAATCATTTCGGATTAAAAATTATGAATTTAAGAGATTTATACATCACTTTTAAATCTCTTTCTACATCTTATTGAATTAAATGATATATGAGAACAACAATTTTTACATCATTTATAATACAGCTAATAGTTACTATAATAGTTTCAAGAATTAAAATGTGTATTATTAGACTATAGTTGCAATTTAATATGAATTATTTGTCTCGCATTCAAGTTAAACGATAAAAGGTAACAGAAACAAATCATTTTGTAATACGTTTTATCATTTTAAACTTTCTGTTATGATTTACAATATAAGTAATGTATTCACTTAAAGATATGTTTCGGATAATTAGGGTTCTATTGTATTTCCTGTTTAAACATATTAAATCTGCTTCTCTGTTTTAAATAAAGAATAAAAATGTTTAAAATATTGTTTACCCTCTGTTAATTATAATCAAATTCTTCTTCCCTGAAAATTTTTTACAATGAGATGTCTTAAATTCGAAGTAATACGGTATATTAATATGCATACAAAGTTTTAATTTTAGTATAACAATTTATCTTAATTTATTTTTTAAATAATCTTATAAACAAATGAGGAAATTTCTTAATTTTAATCAATAAGCATCAGCTCCGTAATACGTAATTTAATATTCCTACATTTAAAAAATATATAATTTTTCTGGAATTATCAAAAATTAAAAAAGAAATTGTTATTATGTAAATGAATCTATCTCGATGGTTTCATTTTACATAGCATAAAAGAAATTTTTCCTTTCTAAATGTAGTTAAAATTCTCATTTTCTCGACTGATTTATTTATTATCTTACATAAAATATTTTCGAAGAATAATTTCGGTTATGAAATTAAAGAAATATACGAGGAAAAAAAAACAAAAAGAAAAATGACAATTTCTCTTACTTTTTCCACGACCAAAATTGAAAATCAAGACGATAAAGACAATAAAATAGCTAAATTAATTTAATTGTAAGTTAGAAAAATAGAATTAAACATTAATTTCGTTTTCAGATTTTTTTCTTATCTATCCACAGGGTATCATTAAGAGCCGGTGTGACATTATTGCCTTTCTTTGCTGTAAATTGGTTCTTTGGTGTATTAGCCCTTGAGGACACATCCACTACCATCTTCCAATATGCATTTGCTTTTACTAATAGTTTACAGGTAACTCCGATTTTATTTTAGGTTTATTTTTTAATCAATTATAATCTTTTATGCTTTTAATTGTTACAAGATGTTGATGGAATGTAAACAATTAATATTATGTTTTTTTATAATTTTCTATTTCATAGGGAATTCTGATTTTCATCTTCTACTGTTGTATGGATATAGAGGTATTATTATATTCAGCTTTACTCAATTTATTTTAATAGGAAAGTTTTTAAGTTTTTTATTAGTATAAACTGATATCTAACATTAATTTTAAAATTTGTAATAAATATCTTAAAATATTTTATTTCAAAATTAATTTAGTTATACAATGTATATTGTAAAT